TTTTTTTTTTTTTTTTTTTTTACATCGTAACTCTGGTCGTTCTTGAATTTTGTTTTTTAGCATGTGAAAGATATAATAGCAACAAGAAGGAATGCCAAAGAACCATCAGAAATATCGATCAGAGAATGTCTTTTTTTTTTTTTAGCAAGATTATTGACAGAAATAAATTAGTAAACGCACTTTGGGTTACGCTTACGCGTTCTTACAATTTACAAAAGCTAGTTTAATACTTAGCCGAACGCTACTTTTAATAGTGAAACGCTTTTTCGAGTCCACGGACTAAAAAAAGATGCTTTTCATTCACTCGGAATGTTACCGCCGATTGATCTAACGAAGGAGGAGATTTTTCTTGCACTTCACAAAACGGAAGTGAGACAAAGTCTTCCTCTTGTTCTTCTTTCACGAGATTAAACAGAAACAGCGTCCACAAGCATTAAGAATGATCTTTGTTTTTTTCTTTTTTCTTTTTTCAACGCGCAGGACAAACACGTAACAGTCACACACGTGTGGTGCTACATATATATTATATATATATATTTGCTTTTTATATAAATTTTATTAAGTTGCCCGAAGAGAGTATTTAATAGTTTAATACACATGTTAAGCGTATATTATCGGTGTCTATTTACTAATGCAGAGTTCTGAAAGTAATATCAGATATATTGAAACAGAGTTTATATTTATATACAAATTTTTTCTATCGTTGAGACATTGAAAGAAGAATTCGAAAAGAGTCGAATTGATTATTATTGATGTGTTAAAAAATGCACAACCGATCTTATGCAGACTGTTGTCGAAAGTATTGCATTTTATTTCAAACGAAAAAATACTTGTTAAATTATCACGGATAAAATTGATGATTTTTTTAAAAATAAAATATAAAGTGTATTTTGATATAATTACGTTTGCGTATCCAATATATACTGCCATTATTAAAATTCCAGATACAGTCGCTTATAGTATCTGGCTTATAGGTTCGTTGTTTTCATAGTAAAGTATATTAAAAAAACAAAGTCTTTCTAGAAGATAAGCGCAGAATAACTTTAATAACAAATAGCAAGCAGTATATAAGATTTTATTCATCGTAACAAAATCGTACTATTGTCTTTTTATTACTGAGTACCTGGCCATGGTTTTCCATGCGACAGCTATTTTTCCTTAGGAGAAATGTATTGAATTGAAACTAGAAAAATGGCTGACAAAATCTTATCGTTGTAACCCCCAAGGGAAAATTTTATTCTTTAAATAAAAGTGCCTTCAATATTAATTATCTAATGTTTGTTTTTGTTCCGTACCACTCAGCTATTGGAAAAGAAGACTAAACGTACAACAACGAGGTATTATACACTCATTTTATTATAAAATTCAATATTAATATTATACACACACATTCTCATATCTCAATCGCAATCAGTTGAAAACAAAATACATAATTTTATCTTATAAATAAAAATACATAGGGGGGAAAAATGAGGAGGGAGACAATCATATTAAATCTTAATTGCACCTAATTCACGTGAGCTTATGAACCCCTGAAAAAAGAAGATGAAAATGTAAAAATATAATCATTTAAAATAGTACAAAGAATACGGAACCAAGTCTACTTACACAATGATGTTATTGATTGGAATATGGATTAATTTGACAAAAAATCCTATGAATCCCATTATGCAAAAACCGATGGCAGTGGCAATGGCAATTTTTTGGAATTCTGCAAAACACAAGTAATAAGTTGTAGCTGTAATTTACTTACTGGTCGACTTTATTAAAAACTTACCTTTTCTGTCAGGCTTCGTGCACCGTTTAATGAGACGAATACTGTCTTTTGCGAATTGACGTCCTGGTTCAGTGAGCTTCTTCACTTGATCCATTATGCTAACGTAACTGAAAATACAGTATTCGTGTAACGAGATTCGCATTCATCAAGTCGTAGCTACGCTTGATTTTTATAATTAGAACGAACGAGGGTATTTATAAAATTTTATGCGAGCGGTGTGCAAAATTACATATGCTTTTGAAGTTATAATGTAGCCAAAAATCTATTATACTTTGCTTCAACTAAATAGAATATTATACATATATATACATTTGGTTTTGAGCTCTTAATAATAAAAATTGAATTTATAGGTTATGACAAGTGTTCACTGATGTGTCGTCAATATTTTTCTCACTTTTCTCTAAAAAGATCGAGAAATTCCTTTCTAAAACACAATACTCACGTTGCACGACCGAAGAACGCTTTGCAAAGTGTTGTTTGACGTATGAAAAACTGCGCTCGTCAGAACTTCAGGCGCTACGTGGATACTATGCTATGAGAACGTCACTTCCTGATCACTGACGTTGGAATAAGAGAATCGTAGCGGGAATTCTTTGCTATTCAAATTCATAGAGACAAAATGATTTTGTGAAACAGATAATAATACGGGGTCGTGTATGTAATGTGATTCATGTAAATTTGCATAACAGCCTTCTTCTCCAAGCAAATAAGTTTTTAATAAAGCAAAAAAAAATTTCTTCAAGTAAATAAATTTTTAATTAAAATAAAGGAAAGATAAAGGAACGTGAACAAATAATATTAATTATCTAAATTTTAATATAACTAAATAAGAAGAATTTATTATTTCTATACAATTTTTTGTCGAATGATATTTTACGAATTCGAGCAAGATAGCTCATGAGACAATGAGTGGAATTTGCAAATCTTTATGCATGCATTTATAGATCAAGTAGAATATAAAAAGAAAACTGAGGACCTAATTATGAAGATACAATTATAAATATTCACAAATTAATCTCCTTTAATAGCTTTTTTGCAAATGAAAATTTGATCGATTTATGGATTTATGGATATTCATTGAAATATTAGCACCACGTAGCGGTGAAATGGTGGAATTAATCGTTATTCCTATCTCTATTACACACTATTGCGTTCTTTGTTTAAGAATGGAGCAGGTGCTGCCATCTATCGGATTTTTCCTATTTATTCTTTTAGTTCTAATTGGAATTTAGAAACACTTAGATGGCAGCGCATGACATGAATCTGTAGCGACATCTATTTAGTCTTATAAAAAA